TCTCCAAATGCCTCCTTACACAGAAGGAAAAATAATTGTAGTGTTCTGTATTATTATGTTGCTTACTGATTCATATAGTTGAAATCTATTATTTTTCAGTCTCACTAATTTTTAAATTTTGGTCCAGAAATTTTGACTAACTTCCTTTCCAGCATCTGTTGTTTCCCGATTTTTTAATGATCGCCATTCTTATAGACTGGATAGGGAAAATGTGGTACATATATACCATGGAATATTACGCAGCCATCAAAAACGATGAGTTCACGTCCTTTGTAGGGACATGGATGAACCTGGAAACCATCATTCTCAGCAAACTGACACAAGAGCAGAAAATCAAACACCGTATATTCTCACTCATAGGCGGGTGTTGAACAATGAGAACACATGCACACAGGGAGGGGAGCACTACACACTGGGGTCCGTTGGGGGGAAATGGGGGAGGGGCGGGGGGGGTGGGGAGGTGGGAAGAGATAGCATGGGGAGAAATGACAGATACAGGTGAGGGGACGGAAGGCAGCAAACCACACTGCCATGTGTGTACCTATGCAACAATCTTGCATGTTCATCAAATGTACCCCCAAACCTAAAATGCAATAAAATGTTTATAAAAAAAATTTTTGACTAACTTTGCTACAAACTAGGATAATCTCCCCAATTTCTTGACTTTCCACAGTACTTTTAATTATATCATGCTGATTCAAGTAGCACCTTGCTTCCTATTTTACATCTAGCTGTGACATAAGCATTATTAAAAATGCTTATTATCAGGGATGTAGTCATCCTTTTATGTCTGTGTTCCAACTTCTGAAACTAACTAAAGCTTTCTTCCTTTCTTTTGAACTTTGCTTTGAAGAATATTTTTTGGCCAGATAAAATAAATTGTAAGTACTGTGTTTTAAAATTAAAATGATCACTATTCTCCATATCTTTAAAAATATTCATCTATAACCATAGCACTTTGGTTGCTGTGACAAGTTTGCTATTTTAATAATCCACATTTCAAAGGACAAAGGAGGAAAAATACGACATCTTCCTTTCCTTCAATTCAAATAACTGTTTTCTGAACATTTATTTCAATTTTCTAGAGGAAAATTTTGATTTATTTTCTAAGGCTTAAAATAAATGGAATGAAGAAGAAATCAAGCCAGGTGTGGTGGCTCAACCTGTAAAACCAGCACTTTAGGAGGGTGAGGCAGGAGGATCGCTTGAGCTCTGGAGTTGGAGATCAGCCTGGGCAACACAGTGAGACCCCTATCTCTACAAAAAATATAAACAACTAACTAGGCATCGTGGTGCACATCTGTAGTGCCAGCTACATGGGAGGCTGAGGTGGGAGGACTACTTGAGTCTGGGAAGTCAAGGCTGAAGTGAGCCATGATTGCACCACTGCACTGCAGCCGGGGCAACAGAGGGAGACACTTTTTCAAAAGAAGAAGAAGAAATCACATCTATATCTAATTAATAGATTGAAATTCTTAGCACATGATTTCTCCACAGATACCATTGTGGCCCAAATGTGTAAGGTCCTTGGTAGTAGGAAATGCATTTGATTCCTCTTTACATTCCTCGGGGCCTCACACAATGCCAATCAACACGGTTCCCAATAAATTCATATTGATTGAATGAATGATACAATGGCCATCTTTCCTTGTCCATATCCATTCTACTCTGGCCACCCTGACTATCCATTCTCTAAACACAGGGCCCTCCTTCACATCTTCATGCCTTTGTAGATGTTATTTCTTCTGCTAGGAATGCTTCTTCTCTAGTGATTTCTTTGCCTCCTTCCTTCTCATCTTTTAAGATCCAACTCAAATGTCACATCTTTTGTGAAGCATTTCTCAAGGCCAAGATGATGCCTCATTCATCTTTATGTTCTCGGTGCTGGCACAGAGTCAAAGTTAGCCAAATGTGTAGTGAATGAGCAAGTGAATAAAGAGAAGGGAGAGAACCAGGATCCCACTGTGGATAAGAGCATACACACACACATACACGCACACATACACACACACACCCCTGAATTCATAGCCCTGCTTCTTTGCTTCTTGACTTAACACTGTGTGACCTAGATCAGATAATGTTACCACCCTGGGACTTAGTTTTCTTAGTTGTAGAATGAAGACAATGATAGTACTTGACTCAAAGAATTTCCGTGAGAATAAAATGAGATGTTGTAGTTGAAGTCCTTTGTCTAACAAGAGCTAAATAATAGTCAATGTCAATAGATTTGTTGTATAAATTTTCTTTGACTGTAATGGAAATATTCAGTGTTGGCTGAAGCTGGCTGACCTCAGCATGATTGTATCAGATGAAAATATTTTGGTTAGGAAGCCAAAATGCCACCACCATATTTTCTTCCATACTAAAGAGTAAAACTCCAGAAAAGCAAAATCCATGTAACTGGATAACACTACTTGATTAGAATTTCCTGATACTTGTGTTCTAAGAGAAAGAGACAAACCACACACACAAAGGTAATAGAAGAAAATTTGTAAATGTAAATATCTTCCAAGTAACTTTGAGGGGATGACTCTAGAATATCTTCAGCCCAAATAAATGTTTATTCCTTAGCACAGGGGCAAATTACCATCTCAGGGAGTGAATTCAGCTCACTCATTGGTGATTTAACTTGACATTGTGTTTTGAAAAATTCTAAATGTATGTCAACACGAAAAAACAAGCTATGTACAAATTTTTAAACGCATACTGATTACAGTGATTAATGTAATGAATCTCCATGTCACGTATTCCAGCTTCTCTAATTAGCAGGACTCTGTCATTTTGTTTTATTCTTCCCCTCACTTTTTTTTTTTCTTTTGGCAAGAGTATTTGAAATCAAATATCAGACATTACACATTTCTTTTTTTTTAAATTTAACTTTTATTTTAAGTTCAGGGATACATTTGCCGGTCGGTTACATGGGTAAATGTGTGTCATGGGGCTTCATTGTACAGATTATTTCATCACCCTGGTATTAGGCCTAGTCCCATTAGTTATTTTTCCTAATTTTCTCCCTCCTTCCACACTTCACTCTCCAGTAGGCCTCAGTGTGTATCGTTCCTCTCTGTGTGTCCATGTGGTCTCATCATTCAGTTCCTACCTGCGAGAAGATATGGTATGTGGTTTTCTTTTCCTGTGTTTGTTTGCTAAAAGTAACGGCCTCCAGCTCCATTTATGTTCCTGCAAAGGACATGATCTTGCTCCTTTTATGGCTGCACAGTATTTCATGGTATATATGTACCACATTTCCTTTATCTAGTCTATCACTGATGGGCATTTAGGTTGATTCCTTGTCTTTGCTATTATGAGTAGTGCTGCAATGAATATAAGTGTGCATGTGTCTTTAGATACATTTCACTCATAAATATTTCAGTATATATCTCCATCAGATAAAGGCTTTAAAAATATGTAGCCTCAATCATTTATTACAACCAACAAAATTAATCTCCTAATGTGATCTAACGCCCAATCTATGTTCAGTTTTCCCTGATTATATCAAAAAGTCTTTTTGTGTTTGTTTAAAATAGTTGTTTTGTTTGAGTCAGATCACAAACTACATTTGTTGGCTACATTTCTTAAGTCTCTTAATGTATAGCAGTTCCTGTCCTTTGTTTCCATGCCATTTACTTCCTGAAGAATTTTAAAGTTGATAAATACATATGAAAACATGGATCTGTGGCTCCTTTTGAAAAAATGAGAAGAGTTGGCAGCACTGGTTCTATAAGGCAACTCTTGGCCAGAGCTGGGTAGAGGCTGTGAACTTTAAACACTGTAAATTTTCTACAGTCCACACCAGACCCTATTGTACCAACCAGCATGACTCATTTGTGTTGCCTGCCTAGCATCGGTAGGCTTTGAGCAGGCCACTTCTGCCCTACGTCTGCTTCTGGTAGGCAATAAGAAAGATGATGCCCGAAAGACGATCTTGAAGTCTTAAATCCTTCCTAGCCATTAAGAAGATGCTTATTTTTGTGCAATTACATTGCTTAGGTAGGAATGTAAGCTAAAATGTTAAAAGGTTTTTCAACAAAGAATTGTATCAGTAACAACAAAAATTTTTTAAATTCTAAGCTAACCTGACACTTTATGAATTTGCATCTCTCTTTTCTTGAGCATTCCAGTTAATCTGCTTTCCTGCCTTCCATATCCTTTTCACCTGTGTGGGGGTTTGATCCTACAAAGGCCTCTGGACATGGTGTCACAAGACCCATACTTGAGTGCTGGCTCTCTATGAGCCAATGGACCTTTATTAGGCTTTTCTAGATCACCTATGCAGAATAGAGGTAAAACAGCCTGTCTCTCAGAGTTGTTGTGAAGTTCAAATAAGGTAACAGATGTGAAATTAGTTTGTAAACAGTATAGCTTTACACTTAAACAAGATATTACTAGGCATAAGGATATGCTGAATTATGCGTAACATTCTCTTTCATGTTTCTGTGCATTTACTCTGCTGTTTCCTCTCCCTGTGATGCCCTCAAGAATTGTTAGTCATCTGTGGTCCCCTAAACACTTTATGCCTGTTTCTTTGTAATGTTTGTCATACTGTGTTAAAGCCATTTGTTCGCATCTGTGTCTTTGGTGAGATTCTGAAAGTAAGCCACAGTTTATTCAGTGCTTGGCATACAGATAACCCTCAGCAAATGTCGGATTGGATAGATTTGAATAATTACTATCTGTGTGCCTATCTTGAAGGACAAAGTCCACGTATATACAGTTCTTTAAGTATGTCATCTCATCACTGATGCATCTAACGAGGATGCCAATGATGAAATAGTCATGAAAATGAAGTTATGTATTTTTAATTTATGAAAATGATCAGACTTTGCGTACATGTCTGCCTTGTACTTTTAAGCACATGAACAATGAAAGAATCGAGATGTAGAATGTCTATCATTTAAAATATTTTCTCCTGCTGGAGAAAACTTAAGCTCCCAGTCCTAGTTCTTGGCCCCAGTTCTCTGGTTCTCCTGATTAACTTAGAGCTTCTTGCTCCTTTACAGCTGGTTTGCTATCCACCCGGTCAGCATGAACAACAGTAACCATCTTGTAAACAGCGACAATGTGGGCTATGCGTCTTACCTGCTTGAGCAAGAGAAGAACAAAGGATATCTACCTGGACAGGTGAGAATTTATATAATCGAAAGCTTCATCTTGAGTCACTGAGTGTCATCATTCATGTTGCGTTCAGAAAAGGTGATTCAAATCTCCAGAATAAAGTGTCTCATCAGTCTCACATATTGATATGCTTGGATAGAGAGCATTTACCATCATCTCTAATAGGGAAAGAAAAATTTAAAATGAGTACTAATCCATTTGCTTTTTGTGTTAGATAGTCCTTATATTCATTGCTTCATAAAGTTATTAGTTGAATAAAGCAGGGCAAGTTCAAGATTTTTGTAATAATAGTAGTTTTTGATTAAGCTGAAAATATGACAAACTGTTGATATTTACTTTTGTTTTTAGAGCTACACAAATATTAAGCACAATTTTATTTTTATTTTTTTGAGACAGAGTCTCACGCTGTCACCCAGGCTAGAGTGCAGTAGCATGATCTCAGTTCACTGCAACCTCTGCCTCCTGGGTTCAAGTGATTCTTGTGCCTCAGTCTCCTTAGTAGCTGAAATTACAAGTGCACATCCCCACACCCAGCTAATTTTTGTATTTTTAGTAGAGATGGGGTTTCGCTGTGTTGAGCCAGGCTGGTCCTAAACTCCTGACCTCAAGTGATCCGCCCACCTTGGTCTCCCAAAGTGCTCCTATTACAGGCATAGGTCACTGCACCAGGCCCAAATATGGAAGACTATATAATAAGATAACAGTCTCAGACTCTTGCCTAGAATTAATATTTCCTTATAAACGTATTAGCTTCCCTTAACATTCAGCCTGATCATTTAGCTCTGTCTTAGTTTGTTTTGTGTTAGCAGAATAACTGAGACTGGATAATTTATAAAACAAAAAGATTTATTTTGGCTCATGATTCTGTTGGTTGAAAAGTTCGAGACTGAACAACTGCATCTGGTGAGGGCCTCATGCTATTTCCAATAAAATACCAATTTTCTCAGAATTTGAATATTCATATTGTACATGAATATTCACGATAGAAATCAGAAGAGGAGCTAGGATGTGCTAAGAGATCACACGTGAAAGAAGAAGCAAGAGAGAAAAACTGAGGAAGCCAGGCTCTTTTATTAACAACCTGCTCTTGGAGGAACTACTGCAATCCATACCCTAGAGAGTAAGAACTCACTCACCTTGTGGGAGGGCATTATTCTATTCATGAGGGATCAGTCTCTTCCCACGAGGCTACAGTTCCCAACATTGCCACGTTGGAGATCAAATTTCACCATGAGTTTTGGCAGGGATAAATCACATCCAAACCAAAGCAAGCTCCTTTGTTGGCAAAACTTACTTTCTATTTTCTCACTTTAGTCTGCATTTTAGGGAAAAGAGAGTTTCCCATTAAATAACTTAACATTTTAGTATCAAAAAAGACTTGTATCTCCAATACTTAGTTATGCCTTTCCTTAAGAAAATTAAAGTGGGAGTAAGGTACAATGCTAGAGCAGTTGAGTTGACACAGAGGCCTTGCATGACTCTAACTGGATTGAAGAGAGAGAGAAAAGATACACGGAGGACAAGTCCAGATGGTGGATGGTGTATTTAGGTTCATTGTGCAACAAGAAAGTCTGCATTTGCTTTTTCTGTTTAAGCCAATATGATATTTATTTTTAAAGGGCAAATGGATCCTGAGCTCCAGATAAAACACAATAGACTAGATTGACTGGTCAGCATTTTATAATTTGTTGTTACAGTGTTTCTGGTCAAAATACTTCTGTTTGAGGCATAATTTGAAACTTTCCTACTTGAAACAGCTTTGTTGATAATTGGAGTATTTTCAGTAATAGTATGTATACTGACTGCAATGTGAGACTTTACTGGAATAAAAAGTTTTCTCAGAATATATATTTTTCTGGATATATCTATATCTATATCTATATATAGATATAGATATATATATTTTACTTTAAGTTCTGGGATACATGTGCAGAATGTGCAGATTTGTTACATAGATATGCATGTGCCATGGTGGTTTGCTGTACCCATCAACCTGTCATCTACATTAGGTATTTTGCCTAATGCTATCCCTCCCCTAGCGCTCCACCCCGACAGGCCCAGTGTGTGATGTTCCCCTCCCTGTGTCCATGTATTCTCACTGTTCAACTCCCACTTATGAGTGAAAACATGCAGTGTTTGGTTTTATGTTCCTGTGTTACTTCTCTGAGAATGATGGTTTCCAGCTTCTTCCATGTCCCTGCAAAAAATATGAACTCATCCTTTTTTATGGCTGCATAGTATTCCATTGTGTATATGTGCCACATTTTCTTTATCCAGTCTATCACTGATGGGCATTTGGGTTGGTTCCAAGTCTTTGCTATTGTGAATAGTGCTGCAGTAAACATACGTGTGCATGTGTCTTGCTAGTAGATTGATTTCTAATCCTTTGGGCATATACTCAGTAATGGGATTGCTGGGTCAAATGGTATTTCTAGTTCTACTTCCTTGAGGAATCACCACACTGTTTTCTACAATGGTTGAACTAACTTCAAACTATACTACAAGAGTACAGTAACCAAAACAGCATGGTACTGCTACCAAAACAGATGTATAGACCAATGGAACAGAACAGAGGACTTGGAAGTAATGCCACACATCTATAACCATCTGATTTTTGACAAACCTGACAAAAACAAGCAATGGGGAAAGGATTTCCTATGTAGTAAATGGTTTTGGGAAAACTGGCTAGCCATATACAGAAAACTGAAACTGGACTCCTTCCTTGCACCTTATACAAAAATGAACTCAAAGTGGATTCAAGAGTTAAATGTAAGACCTAAAACCATAAAAACCCTAGAAGAAAACCCAGGCAATATCATTCAGGACATAGGCATGGGCAAAGGCTTCATGACTAAAACACCAAAAGCAATGGCAACTAAAGCAAAAATTGACAAATGAGATCTAATTAAAGAGCTTCTGCACAGCAAAAGACACTATCATCAGAGTGAACAGGCAACCTAAATATTTTGTGTCCTCTTTTTACTGTCTGCAAATAATTTTGAAGAATTTACCAGAGTGAATTTAATGTTTGCATTTCTAATGGCAGTCATTATAGGAAATAGTGAAGAATTAAAGGCAACTTGGTATTTCTTTTGGCAGGGACCATTTGTAGCAGCCTTTGCTTCATCAAACCTAGGAGATGTGTCCCCCAACATTCTCGGCCCACATTGCATCAACACAGGAGAGTCCTGTGATAACCCCAATAGTACTTGTCCCATTGGTGGGGTAAGTAATTATGGCACATGAAATGTTTGTTCTTGCATCTCATATACATTTTATATTTGAATATTTATCATTAATTTACAAATATGTTGTCTTCTAGTATACATTGGCCTAGTTCCCTCTAGCACCTGCTCTTCTCAAAAGCACATGTCCAAACCCACCAGATCTTAATTGAGTGAAGTTACATTTTTCCATTTGAGTGACTGTTCAAGTTTTGTAAATGATGAGACAATTCAGTAACTGCCAGAGATTAACTACCCTTTCCCAAACTTGGACAATGTAAAACATTTTGCTTTGGTGTTTCAAAAGTCACAAGTTTGTACTAAAAACTACTTGCCTGAGACATTTCTCATGGATTGTAAAGTCTATAGGGTTTTTAATATAAGACCAAAATTCCTTTTCCTTTTTTAAAAATTACAAGCACAAAATTGCTGTAAAAATTCAAATAATGTGGAAGCACAGAGAATAGTAACAAGTGAAAGTCACTGTTCACCTCCCTTTCCTCTACACTTTGCTATTCCTGGAAGTTGCTATTCTCATTCCTCTTTCTATGTACTTATTTATGCATTTATATATAACATTTTATTAATTATTTACGGATTTTGAGTTTTGTATCCAGGACTTGAGTTTTCCATTTAATTTTTCTTAGAAATCTTTCAATGACTGTATCCAGATTTGTGTGATATGTTTTAAAGACAGCAAATAAAGCTATATCACCATTTATTTAACTCCTGCAATGTTTATTTAGCTTTGTTTTCAACTTTGATGTGAGCAGTAGAGGCTAATTTGGAGTTCTTATTCTTTGTGTTTTTAGAACATTTTACTTGTTATAATGCTTTTTTGTACACTATTTCTGGGACATTTATTCTATCCCAATCGGCTCTATCCAATGGGGTTAATATCAGTATTAATAAAGATTTTTTTTCTTACTGACTTTTTAGAGCTCCTAATATATTAAAGTCTTAGTTTTCTCAAAATGATACTAACTTTTCTCCCCGTTTATCAGTTGCCTTTGTATCTTATTTATGCCTTTTGCCCTTATGCGCATTTAAGATATTTAAGCTGTCCAGTTTAACTAAGCTTGTTCTAGATAACTTTTAGGAGTGTCTGCTCACACCCTCTGACTATAAAATCCATCCATCCATATTTCTTTTAGTACTTTTTTGATTCTACTTATAATATTTAAGTGCTTGATCAGTCTTAAATTTTTCTAACATAAGAAGTCAGAAATAGGGCCAGATTTGTTTATTGATGTTTTTTTCCCCCCCAGAAGTCCAGTTAGTTGTTCCAATATAATTTAACTGAATTTCAATTTAAGGTAATCATGAGTAAGAATCAGAGGCAAGAACAAGCAAGTAGAAAGACGTGGAGTCAATGGAAAGATCAGGCTTCAAGTCTTAGCTCAGATATTAGATACTTGGATAATCACCGACACATCCTTTTACCTGTATAAACTTCAATTTCCTTATTTTTAAAAGAAAGGCTCCAGAATAGATAATTTCTAAAGATATTCACTGTTCTAGACCATGTATAATTTTGTTTTTATAGTCTGTACTTTGAGAGACTTCCTGAAAAGAAATGCTAGAATGTGGTTTAAAAAATCTGTTTGCTTAGATTCAGTTATAATTCCTTATTCCTTAAAATAACTGCTAACTTAACCAAGAATGCATCCTATCTTATTTTGTCCCAGCCTAGCATGTGCATTGCTAAGGGACCTGGACAGGATATGCTCGACAGCACACAAATTATAGGACGAACAATGTATCAGAGAGCAAAGGTAAGCCATGGGCCTCGTTCCTTTCATCTTCATTTAAAATTGTCCTTTAAAATACATTGACATGGTTCACTAGGAAGTTGAATATTGTAAAGAAAACAGAAAATGCTCAGGCTGTGGTGGGGCAGTCTGGAAGAGGTCAGCTTGGGAAGTGGCCTTTGCAATCCACACAGGAACCTGTCTGACTGTTCAGGTCTGACTTCTTATAGGAAGTGTATTTAAAACCAAGTAATCAGGAAAACATTCTATTTTAGAATGTTTAGCAGGCCAGAATGCTTGCTTCAGACAGCAGGAAAATAGTCTATAAGATATTCAGTTATTGTGGCATCAGATATAACCAGATTGATTCAAATTCTCAGAAGTCTCTAAGGCCTTTGCTTGCCAAAAGTCACCCGGCTATCTCTTAACTTTTCCTTTGGTGACAAGCTAGAGCTGAGCCATAGAACTCCAGTTCTTGCAACTTGGATTTAAATCAGTTCCCAGTGTTCTTCAATGTGCAAAGATTATCCATCTATTCTTTTCTTTTGAAAAAACTTTTTGATGAAGAGATAATCTGGTCTCCAGTGAGATTACTGTGAATTGCTCTGACCTCCTTCCCCTCTTAAATTTTAATTCCCATTTTGTCCCCATATTTTGTTTCAGCTTCTATGGAGACAGATTTCTGGGCAAAAAGACAAAAGACCTCAAACTGAGATGTTCTTGATATAGTTAAATCTCTTTCTTTTCATAGCTTATTCATACCTTTGCTGCATGTGTGTGTGTCTGTATGTGTGTCTGTGTGTTTAAATAGTTTATTCTGTGAGTTCTAAAATGTTTTAAGAGTAACTAAGGAAAGACAAATACACCTTTAAAAAACAATCAAACGCAAAATTGGTAGCAACAGCCAGCCTAATTGCTGCAGTTTCTTTTTAATTACTGTGGTATTATCAGTGGATTATTCTAAATTCACAGATTCTATTTAGGGTGTGCACACGTGACACACTTTAGTGTCAGAAATTTTGTTCCCATTCTGAGCTGGAGAGCCATAGAGATTTGTCCCACATTCTGCATTCTCTTCTAAGCAAGGCACAGCTTCCCTCATAATTAGGAGAGGCAAGCTGCAGCTGGTCTTACTGATGACTTATGAGAGCTCACATGTGGCTGTTGAAACTGGGGTGGGGACAGAGGGGAATGAGCTAAGTGTCAGGCAAGAGGATGTTTGATGAAACGGGATTTGCCTATGTTGTATAATACAAATTAGTAAAAACAAAGAATTTTTAAAACATGTTTTGACTCACGTTTCCCGTAAGATTGAAAAAGCATCAATTGACCGTATGAAACACAAAAGCACTGAAGAGTGGATTGTGGGTGGGTGAGCTGCTGCAGATGAAGCAGGGCTTGAAGTTCTCCAAGCCACCCTTGGCCCCAGTCCTGCTGCAGGACTCAAGTATTCTGATAACACCCAAGGATACACTCTCACTCTAGCAAAGAAAATAATTTGGTCCACTTATTCCTAATCTTAAATTTTCTTAGTGGTCTTTCCAGTGAGATTGGGGCTTTTTGTGCCACAGCCTGTAGTACTATTATTTCATTTTTGCGGGGAGTAGACACAGGTCAACAGCCTCGGAGACCAAACTTTTGGGAAACTTCTGGGTTTGGTACCGAAACCCATGTGGTTATTGGCCAATTCTAAGCAACCAGCAAAACAAAGCTTTTCTGAGAGAGGCATTTCCAAATTGCATGAAATTGGTACTTCCTGAGTACGATTGGAGATACTCACTTTAGCCTTTTTTCTTGGAATAGTAAGCCTGTGTGTTTTCTAGGAACTATATGCCTCTGCTTCCCAGGAGGTAACGGGACCACTGGCTTCAGCACACCAGTGGGTGAATATGACAGATGTGACCGTCTGGCTCAATTCCACACACGCAGTAAGTGCTGCTGAGACACACTGGTTATGCCCCAAGGGTGAAGTTTCGGGTTTCTCTCATTATTTACTTTCAGCTTAAGTTTTGTTTCTTTATCTGTTTCCTTTTTGTTTTGTTTTTAAAACCTTTCCTTTAGGCAAAAACATGTAAACCAGCATTGGGCTACAGTTTTGCGGCTGGCACCATTGATGGAGTTGGAAGCCTCAATTTTACACAGGGTAAGGGTATGGTTTCAGCTTCTGACACTTCTGGGTTCTGTTCTCTGATCAGATTTCATTGTAGCCAATACCTTTATTATTTTTAAACTCAGGGTCTGCTGGTTTTCCAGGCTTGTACCTGACCATGCATCCCACAGGTCTAAGCAACCACTAATATTTCTGTCTCTGTATTTTCCAATTCTGAACATTTCATACAAAAGGAATCATATAATATGTGGCATTGTTTGTTAGCTTCTTTCACTTAGCATCATGCTTTAAAGGTTCATTGATGTTGTAACATGTGTCATTCCTTTTGTTTGAGATGGAATTTCACTCTTGTCACCCAGGCTGGAGTGCAGTGGTGCAGCTCACTGTAACGTCTGTCTCCCAAGTTCAAGTGATTCTCCTGCTTCAGCCTCCCAAGTAACTGGGACTACAGGCACCTGCCACTGTGCCTGGCTAATTTTTGTATTTTCAGTAGAGATGGGGTTTCACCATGTTGGCTAGGCTGATCTGCAACTCCTGACCTCAAGTAATCCACTCACCTTGGCCTTCCAGAGTCCTGGGATTAGAGGTGTGGGCCACTATGCCCAGCCTCATTCTTTTTTATAATTGAATAATATTCCTTTATATCAACATATCAGATTTTTTTTTTTTTTGAGACGGAGTTTCACTCTTGTTACCCAGGCTGGAGTACAATGGCGCGATCTCGGCTCACTGCAACCTCCGCCTCCTGGGTTCAGGCAATTTTCCTGCCTCAGCCTCCTGAGTAGCTGGGATTACAGGCACGTGCCACCATGCCCAGCTAATTTTTTGTATTTTTAGTAGAGACGGGGTTTCACCATGTTGACCAGGATGGTCTCGATCTCTCGACCTCATGATCCACCCGCCTCGGCCTCCCAAAGTGCTGGGATTACAGGCGTGAGCCATCGCGCCCGGCCAACATATCAGATTTGTTTATACATTCCTCACTTGATGGACATTTGGATTGTCCCATGTTTTGGTTATTATTAATCTAGAAACATTCCATAAATATTTATGTGATTTTTATGTGGGTGTGTGTTTTCATCTTTCTTCTTAGGTATATGTCTAGGAATAAAATTGCTGGATTATATGATGACTGTACATTTAATCATCTGAGAAACTGCCAGACTATTTCTGAAATGGCTGTACCATTTTACATTTCTACAGGCAGTGTATAGGGTTCTGATTTTTTATGTCTTTGCCAATACTTGTCATTAGCTGACTTACTGAATCTAGCCACCCTAATGGGTGTGGAGGGGTATCTATCTGATTGTGGTTTTGATTTGCATTTCCCTAATGATTAATTATGTCAAACATCTTTTCATGTGCTTATTAACCACATGTATATGTTCCTGGGAGAAATGTCATTTATGTAGTTTTTTAATCTTAAAATTGGGTTATTTTTCTTTTTATTATTGAGTTATAAGTGGATCTTGTGTTTTCTGTATACAGTCCCTTATCACATGTATGATATGAAAATATTTTCTTCCATTCTGTAGGTTTTTTTTTTTCACTTTATTGATTCGTGTCCTTTGAAACACAAAAGTTCTTAATTTTTAATAAGTCTAAGTTTTGTTACTCATGGCTTAGTGTCATATGTAGGAATCTTTTTCCAAATCCAATGTCATGAAGATTTACCCCTATTTTCTTATAAGACTTTTATGGTTTTAGCTCTACATTGAAGTCTTGGATCCATTTTAATTTAAATTTTTTGTATCGTGGAGGTCACGGCCTGACTTTGTTCTTTTGCGTGTGGCTATTCGGCTATCTCAGGACCACTTGTTGGAAAGATTATTATTTACCCATTCTATAATCTTGGCACACATGTTAAAAATTAGTTGACATGTGCTTTATTTCTGGATTAGCAATTCAATTCCATTGATTTATAGGCCTAGCCTTGTGCCAGTACAACCCTCTCTTGGTTACTGTTTCCTTTGAGATCAGAACGAATGAGTCATTCTACCTTGACCTCCTCTTCGAAGATTGTTTTGACTTCTGAGTTTTTTTGCAGTTCCATAGGAATTTTAGAATCAGCTTGTAAATTTTTACAAAGAAGTCAGTTGGGATTCTGGTGGGAATGCCATTGAATTTACAGATTAATGGGGGAGTATTGCCATCTTAGCAATATTATGTAATCTGATCCACGTACATGGATGTTTTGGCATTATTTAGATCTTGAATTTTTTTCAACAATGTCTTGTAATTTTAAGAGTATAAATTTTGTACTTTTTGTTAAGTTTATTTTACTCTTTTCCATGCTTTTGTAAATGGAATGTTTTTCTCAATTTCATGTTTGGATTAGTCATAGAAAATGTATAGAAATACAACTATTTTGTATATTGACCTTATATCCTACAACCTTGCTGAACTCATTTATTAGTTCTAATATTTTAGAATCAGCTTATAAATTTTAAGATCATGTTATCTTAAAATAGAAATATTAGTAGTTTTAATTTCTCTTTTCCAGCCTGAATGCCTTTTATTTCTTTTTCTTGCCTAATTGCCCTGGCTAGAACCTTCAGAACAATGTTGAATAGAAGTGGAAAAGAGTTCTGTGTTGTTCCTGATACTATGGAAAAAGCATTCAGTCATTCATCCTTAGGTATAATGCTAGCTCTGGGTTTTTAATCCTTTATCAGGTTGAGGAAATTTACTTATATCCTAGTTTGTTGAGTATTATTATCATAAAATGGTGTTAGATTTTTGTCAAATGTTTCTCTATCTGCTCAGATTATAATGTAATTTTTAAAATTATATTAATATGTTATACTGCATTGATCAGTTTTTGAATGTTTACCCAACTTTGCATTCCTGGAATAAATCCCAGTCATGTTCTATAACAATTCTTTTTCCATGTTACTGTGTTCAGTTTGCTAGTATTTTATTGTAGATTTTTGTGTCATATTTATAAGAGACAATGTTCTGTAGCTTTCTTTTCCTATGATATCTTTGTCTGGTTTTGTATCAGGATAACATTGGCCTGATAGAATGAATTAGGAAGTATTCCCTTTTCTATTATTTTGGAAAAGTTTGGAAAAGTTAGTACTAATTCTTTGTTTGGAAGAATGCAGCAATAAAACAATCTGAGCTCTGCTCTTTGTTTTAGGTAGTTAAAAATGTGCTATGAATTCAATCTCTTTATAGTTTTTTTTTTCTTTTTTTTCTTAGATTGCCTGTATCTTCTTAAGTCAGTTTTGGTAGTTTGTCTTCTAGAAATATTCCCATTTAATCTAAGTTATCTAATTTATTGGCATACAACTCCTCACAGTATTCCTTTGTAATTCTTTTTATTACTTTAAAGTCAGTAGTAATGTTCCTTCTAATGTCTGAGTTTAATAATTTAAGTCTTCTGTCTTTTTTTTTTTTTGGTCAGTCTAGCTAAAGCTTTGCCAATTTTGTTGACTTTTTCAAAAAACCAGCTTTTGGTTTCATTGATTTTTCTGTTGTTATTCTGCTCACTGTTTAATTGATTTTCTTTCTAATATTGATTATTTCCTTCTTTTTGCTTGATTTGGTTTAGTTTGATTTTCTTTTCCAATGTCTTCAGGTGGAAGTTAGGTTATTGGTTTGAGATCTTTCTTGTTTCTTAATATGGATGTTTACAGCTATTAATGTCTCACTGAGCACTGCTGTAAGTGCGTACCATAAGTTTCGATTTGTTGTGTTTTCATTTTCAATGATGATAAAGTATTTCCAGGTTTTCCTTTGATTTTTTTCCTTGATTATTAGCTATTTCAGATCATATTGCTTAATTTTCACATATTTATGAGTTTCTCCAATTTTTTCCTATTATTTAATTTCATTTCACCGTGCTTGGAAACATACTTTGTATTATTTCTACTTTTTAAAATTTATTGAGGTTTGTCTTTTGGCCAGCACATGATCTATCCCAGGTAATGTTCCATGTTCATTTGAGAAGAAGGTGTATTCTGTTGTTTTTGGGTGGAGTATTTTATAGATTGTCAGGTCTAGTTAAGGTTTTCTGTTTCCCTGTTGATCTTCTGCCTAGTTGTTTTATCCATGATTGAAAATGGGTTATTGAAAGTTTCACTATTGTTGTTGAAATGTGTATTTCTCCTTTGATTCTGTGAGTTTTCACTTTACGTATCTGGTCCTCTGTTATTAGCTACACAGACATTGATAATTACTAAATTTTTCAAATGGAGTATAGATTCTCAATTCATAGGTATCATAGTTACAAAACTCTTTTCCCCAGATTATACATTTGAGGTTTGTTTTTGTTTTTTACTGCTCATGTTTGTGTGTGTGTGTGTGTGTGTGTGTGTGTGTGTGTGTGTGTGTGTGTAGATAATTAAATGAGTATTCAGGAGAAATTCTTTCAGGGACCATAAGCCAGACAACTGGTATTGTGAGTTGGAGGTGTCATTTTTAGTTTTCAAAACAGGAAAAAAGTGATTTAGTCCACAATTCTGCAGTTAATTATGTCAAACTGTTTTTATTTGCAACACGGATGAGCAGAGGTAATAGGAACGAAACTTTTCTGTCATTCCTTTGACCACGCTGAAGATTTTTAATTAAATAATGGCTCATATCTTAGGATGCATGGGACATTTTGCCTATTCTATTATTCAAACTGTTTGAAATCATTGAACAACAACCTTAATAAAATCTCTGAGATTCTTTAAAAGATTATTGTACAATGTTTGTCAAAATAATTACTTTTTTCAGAAGATTGATTCAAGAAAGTATATTAATCATAACATTTTTAATAGGGAAAACAGAAGGGGATCCATTTTGGGACACCATTCGAGACCAGGTCCTGGGAAAACCATCTGAAGAAATGAAAGAATGTCATAAACCAAAGCCTATTCTTCTTCACACTGGAGAGGTAGTGCATTTTCATTATCATAGTGAAATTAGCGTGTTGTTATTTTTAAATTTGTGAACTGTCAGATAATGAACAGTGGGAGGTCTTATTTAGATATTCCCATATCAAGTTTTTCTTATTAAAAAATGGGTTCTGTAACTCTAAGTAATAAGGGTTGTGATGATAAAGTATACTGATTTATTTATTGTACTTGTAAGTAATAAATACAATAATTAGGACAGTGGGAAAGGCAGAAGAAGATTAACATTTATTTTTTTTAATTTTTATTTATTTATTTATTTGCTTGATTTGATTATATTTTATTTTGCTATATTGTGGTTTTTAAAAATATTCTTTTATTTTATTCAGAATTTATTTATGTTAGTTCCAAGAAGAGAGCACTCAGTTTTCTGCAAAAGGAAATATTTCAGGTCATCTAAAAAGAAACATGTTCATGTCTTAATTTTCTCACATTTAGGCAATATTAACTGAAGCAATTTTCTTTTACACTCCTTTGAAACATATATTTTCACATTCTAAATGTGAAAAGATTATTTGGGTATTCATAAAAACATGGATTGTTGAGTTAGAAGCATTTTAAAAATACGTTTTGTTCCTAATATTCTATTAAAATTCTTGAAAGAAGAAAGAGAGAAAAAGAAGGAATAAAAGGACAGGCTATACTATTCTGAATATGGAAAAGGATAAATTCTCTTGGGAGAAATCTTGTAAAATAAAGCAAGACTTGGAAACTGGAAACTTAAAGTATGATTAGAATAAAAAGAGAAGTTATTAAGTTAAACTGTTCAAAATGGAATTCCTTATTTATTGTGTATAAGGATAGCCTCTAACAATACCCTAGGAAAACCTTTGGTTATCTGTTACACATTGTGATTTCGCAGTGACAGATCCACCAAACACTTTATTGATTTGTGCAGGTTAATGGGGCTTTGGCATTTGAAGTTTGTATGTTACGACTAGGACATAAGTGCCCCTATAGAATATTTAATACTACGTCATAAATTAGAAACTAGAGGAACTTCTGGGACCATTATCTGTCTGTTGACCATAAACAGAGTATTATTTCTAACACAATTTTCTTGTTTTGTGTTCTCAGCTATCAAAACCTCATCCCTGGCATCCAGATATTGTTGATGTTCAGATTATTACCCTTGGGTCTTTGGCCATAACTGCCATCCCAGGGGAGTTAACGTAAGTTCTTCTTATTACTTAGTTAAAAATGTGTTTGTTGTATGTTTCTATTGAAACTGCTCCTTATTATAGGAAGATCATTCTGTACTGACCCCTTGGTATGCTACTGTACTATGTTTGGTGGCAATGTTTGCTGGGGCCTCTGAAGAATAACTATCATCTCTATGCTTATTATTGATGGCTAATCTGAAGCAGACATGAAAATTTAAAAAAATACTTATCCCAAATTAAAATGATGCCATGAATCATTATGCCAGTAGAAAGATTTGAAATAAAATTAAAATACAGCTACTTGAAACTATCAGATTATATATTAAAAACATGGAAGAATGTTTTAAACCTGCTTGATATGTAGTCTTCCTATTGCAATTTCATATATTTCCAGCAGGTCCTATCTCTTGGAGTCATCCTTGAATTCTCTCTTTTTCTATTTTTTCCTTCAAATTCTTTAGCAAATTTTGTACACTTCACCCAATACCTTCTGTCACTTCCCCTCCTGGTCTAAGCTATCACAATCATTCACACATTATTGCAATAACCTGCTACCTGGTCTGCTTCATTCTGCCTTTATGCCCATGCAGTCTTTTCTCAACACAGCAGGTATATTAAGCCCTTTAAAGTATAAATTAAATAATATCATGTCTTTTCTCAAAAATCCTCTGGTAGCTTCCCATTTCATTCCAGGTAAATCCTCAAACTTGCAAGCTCCTACATGATCTGTTCTTCAGTACACTCTCCTATGTGATTTCTTACCTCCCTCCCCTTTACTCCTCTCTGCTTCAGCCACATTGGCTTTGTTACACTTCCCAGACTCATCAAAGATGCTTTTGTCTCAGGGCCTTTAAACTTACGGTTTCTTCATTCTGGAACACTTTTCCTCCAGTTATTCTCATGACTAAATCTTTTATCTCTTTAGTTTTTTGCTCAAATGTCTAACAGGGATGCCTGTCCTGCTTTCACTATATAATCTTCACCTACCGCCACCACCATCACCACCATCACCACCATCATCACCACCACCACCGTCAACAACCACATCAGCACCAGCACCACCATCACCACAATGACCACCACTACCACCCGCTTTCCTCTTTACCCTGCTTTGTTATTCTCTATAGCTTTTCTCATCATCTGTTTTTATTTGCTTATTAACCCTCTCCTCTCCCTAGAATGTAAGCTCCACACTGTTGAATCCTTTGCACCTGGAAGTGGGCCTGGTGTGTAGTAGATGCTCAATGGTTTATTGAAGGATTAAATGAATAAATAAAATGGTAAATTTTTTGTAGAAAGGGACAGTAATGTATTTTCTACCTGCTTCAACTTTAATAAACATAGAATACAACTAATTATTTTGTTGACTCAAGAATGGAAAGTAATGATACTCTTTTGCCAGTGATAATTACTGATTCTGTTTCTTTCTTTTGGTCAGATTGACTATTTTCAGCTTAGGATTTATTTTGAAGCTATGACAGGCAGGAAAAAAGGTCAAGTTTAGCTTTTCATAGTCATTGGGTTCCTGCATATTTTACTATTGTGTGATGAGCCAGGGTAATTTTTTGGCTTTCACTGCAAGTGTTTCTGTTTACTCTGCACACATTCTGAGTAGGAAAACTTTTACATAGCTGTTTTCTTGACTCAGGACCATGTCTGGACGAAGACTTCGAGAGGCAGTGCAAGCAGTAAGTTAAAAATAAAATAACATATCTACATGTTCATATTTGGTGAACAGGAAAGTATATCCTATCCCTATGATCTGATACCTTTTAAATTAATCCTTTCTAAGATGACTAGAGTTCCACATTTCTTGAAATTAATAGTGAAGGTGAATATGAAATGGTGGTGGTATAAGAACCAGACTTTAAAAACATAAGGGGAATAACATTAGGTTAAGAACATTTTATTGGTATTTGTGTATTAATACTTTAAAATTTGATAATTGTTTTATAAATTAAATACTAAATAACCTCTAAGTATGTTATATCTTAAATTCCTGTGAACAGCCTAAATAAAATGTATCATATTTGAGGAATTTATATTTTATCTGTGCTGTATTTTTAATTTTTTAAATATTCAGGCAGTATGGTAAATGGTTCTAAAATGACATAACAAAAATGTCTTGTTACTTAGAGCTGGAAATTACTATTCTGGTTAGCTAATAACCACCCATTAATAAGTTGATTTTTTTAAATCCCTATTTTAGTAGTAAGGAGTTTCTACATCAGGCAACTGCAATCTTTAAGATGGTTATAGATCCATTGACTTGTCCAACTATAGTACAGAGTTAGAAAAATTTTGTTAAGAAAAATATCTTATACCAATAATGTAATCAATGCTTGTATGTTAAGGATAATATAATGATAATATACTTAGAGATGAAGAGTAATTTTATTGGGTTTTACTTTTCTCTCCTAGGAATTTGCATCTCATGGGATGCAGAATATGACCGTTGTTATTTCAGGTCTATGCAATGTCTATACACATTACATTGCCACTTACGAAGAATACCAGGTAAAGCAAAAAGTTCTTACCATTTAAATGAATTATACCCTGGTCAAGACTATTGTGTCAAATGCAGACTTGCTTTGTAAACTTTCCCAGTCGTGTTTCTGAGAGATGATTTTATTTTAGTTATAGCAGGTAAGAGAATGATAAGCCAGAGGCCGTATTTAAGAGTTTTAAATACATCGTTTTAAGTTCAGTTCAGAATTCTAGTTTTACTGACTTACACTTTCCCTGTAATTAATTATTTTGTCAGGGACACTGAGAATAAGCCTGAGTTGTGGCATATAATATTCCTAACTCTATTCATAATGCATTTGATAGCTTAAGCCTCTGTAGAACCTGAGAAAGCTCCTACTAGTAGTTTTTATTGAATGCACTAGTTAAGCACTTAGCAAATGTAATTTAAAGTAATCCTCACAGCATATCCAGAAATAGGGCATTATTATATTGACGGTAAATATTAAGAAACAGAGTCCCAGAGAGTATCAGGGAGGCTGGTAGCTGGTAATATTTCCTTGTTTATAAATAGTCCAGAAAGCAGCCCAAGTACTTTTTAAGTAAAACATAAATGCAGTCCAGAGTCTCATAATTAATACTTTCTATTAATAATATATCTGCTAGTATATCATGGTGGTGCATACAGAGGCATGCAGTCTAACTGTTGGTAAATATTCAGTGATACTAAGAGTGAACTCTGCCCTGCTACTCTCTGTTGGCTTTCTTGAAGTTCCTTGCCTTCTAGGAAATCCCATTGAAAAAGGGGTCTTAATGATGGTAAACTTGGAGAGGAATAATTAAATATTTTCTTCACTACCTCTAACTATTATTTACTGTTTCTGTCAATTATAAATATAGGAAACAAACCATTTTAGCAGTACCTCTGTCACCAATAGGAACCAGAGATATTTTCCTATCACATATAGTTATTGCAGATCTAGAAGCATCTCTTACTCTTATGGCAATTTTATAATCACAGTAGTTATTAGATCCACAGATGTATCTTATTATTCAATAGTATAATAACAAAGCACATACATTACTGTATCACAACATCAGTTTGTTATTGTCTGGTAAATGTATTTCAACTTAACTTGTTTCGTCTGGCAATTCCATGTATTTTATTTTACACATTTAGAAACATTATTCTGAGGGAGGTCCTTAGGTCTCAACGTGCTACCAAAGGAGTCCATGTCACAAGTAAGACTAGGAACCCCTATTAATTTGTCGCCTGGTCCAGGTGAGATGGGAGAGTTCCCTGAACCCTCTTGCAGTAATGTGTGATAGGGGTGTGGCTCATCTGTTTGGCTGATGTGCAAACCCCTTATGGGAGGGGGAACACGCAGACAAGCAGGTGCAGGAGCCTGGGCAAGTGCTTTTGGGTGCTGGCTGGAGCAAACTCCACGTGAGCCCTGTAGCAATATTTAGGTCTGGGTACCTGCTACTTGCGAAGCCCAAGTGGGCATGTTTTACAGTGTGCTTTTTTTTTTTAGCTTTCATGTCTGCAGATGGCTTAAGTGTTAAACAGCTGTGTGCCCTCTTGGTACCCATGTCCTTGTCCAGGGTCCAGGAAGAATGATGTTACACATGGATATGAAGAATGAATGCAGGGTTTTATGGAGTAGTAGAAGTAGCTCTCAGTGGAATGAATGGGGAGTTGGAAAGAGGATGAAGTGGGAATATGATCTTCCCCTGGAATTTGGCTGTCCAGTGGCCAATCTCCTTTCTGACAATCCCCAACTTGAACTCTTCTTGGCATTTAGATGCTCCTTCTCTTCTCTCTGCTGTACCATCCTGCCATTCTTCCACATTTTTGTTGATCTCCTTGTATGCTCATGGAGCTGGGGTTTTGGGGATTTTATGGGTAGTGGATGGGGGGCATAGTGAACTAAAAAGTAAAACAGGAATGTTTGGGTGTGAAAACAGAAATGCCTGTTCTCATTTAGGGCCACAGGTTTCCAGGCTTAAGGGTGGGGCCTTTGCCAGGGAACTGCCCTCTTCTACCCGGTATTTCCCTGTCTCCTGTCTATATCACAGGGATATACTCTTGCAAGAAATACTGCTATTACTTCATTTATTCAACAGATATGTATTGTGACAGATACTGTGCTAGCGACTTTCTGGGGCATAATGATGAAAAGAATCTGTCCTTTCCCTAAAGATTACTAGAAGTCAAGAGTCTGGTAGAAAGACAGAAAGGAGAACAGATGGTTACATTTTCATCAAAGTCATGCACAAGGTGATATAAAAATAAAGAGAAAGATCACCAGCCCAGACTGGATATTTGAGGACTGGGACTGTTCAGGAAAACATAAAAACTGTATGAGTTCTTGAGAACAAGTGAGGGTTAGGCAAATAAAAAGTAAGAATGTGGCCAAGTGCGGTGGCTCATGCCTGTAATCCAGCACTTGGGAGGCTGAGATAGGCATATCACGAGGTCAAGAGTTTGGGACCAGCCTGGCCAACATGGTAAAATCCCATCTCTACTAATAATACAAAATTAGCTGGGCCGCCTGTAATCTCAGCTACTCAGGAGGCTGAGGCAAGAGAATCGTTTGAACCCGGGAGGTAGAGGTTGCAGTGAGCCAAGATCATGCCATTGCACTCCAGCCTGGGTGACAAGAGCAAAACTCCATCTCAAAAAATAAAAAAAGTAAAGAATGTATCCCATATGGAAGAAACTATACATGCAAAGGTCCAGAGGATAGGCATATTGATGGACCATAATTAGTTGAGTAGCATAGAGTAAGTATGGGAAAGGTGATGGTAATGAGATGGGGGCCAGAGTGGGAGACAGATTAGCTGATGGATAGTTTTATATGCTATGTTACAGAGCTTTCATTCAGTAAGGAAGGCTTTGGGGGAACTCCAGTAGGATTCTAAGCAAGAGAATGCTTTGATACAATTTTGTGATTTAGAAAGGTCAATAGGATGGCAGTGTAGAAAATTAATTGGAAGAGCTTGTGTATAGACAGAGGACTGATTAAGAAGTTGTAGTGTAGGTAAGATCTGGTCAAGGAATGGACATGTATACTTGAGGGTGAAGGTTAAAGGGAGGGAGAGGATCAAAAACTACTTATCAGGTGCTGTGCTTATTACCTGGCTGCCGAAATAATCTGCATAACCAACCCCCATGGCAAGTGATTTACCTATATAACAAACCTACACATGTACCCCTGAACCTAATAAAAAGTTAAAAAAAAATCTGGGTGAGAGATGAAGATTCGAACTAAGGTAAAATCTACTTTTACCTTAGGAGAAAGTAAGACAGGAAAATAAAAGAATTCAGGAGATTTGGAAGGAGACAGAATTACCAGATTTGGAGATTTGCAGGATACAGAATGAGGGAGAGAGGAGTCTAGGGTAACTGCTGGCTGGTCCTCACATGGGAGACTGGAAGGATGACATTCACTGAGATGGAGAATGTTGTGGAGGAAGATGGTATGTCTGGAGTGGGGAGGCTGGTTTTACATTTGATGACATTGAGGTTTCTGTAGAAGAACCAAAGGCCTAGAGGTTAGGTAAAAGATGCATCGGTTCAATTTTATGGCTCTGTGATGGATTAAATTGTCCTTCTCCAGTTAGTACTTTCTAACTATTTATCCAGAAGTAATTAGGACTCTTTTTATTTTGGTTTCTCTTCTGATATATGACCTTGGGGAAAACATTTATATTACAAGTCCTTATCATAGACTAAAGCTCAGGAGCTAGCACCCTCTTTCATAGTAAATGGAGTGACAGTCTAAATGGCATAAGCAGAGAGAACCCACTGCTTTTAACAAGTAACAAAGGAGTCACTTACTTTGGCCAGTAAATAGAAATGCCCATCCTCTTTGGTCATACATAATCTTGATGATTATGCTAATTTCAGATAATGGTGAGATGTCAAGCATCGCACTTACCTAAAATGCTAGACCTCTGTAAATGGATTTATATATGCAGGACCATATACAATTCTCCCTGCCTTTGCCACAGGCTCAGCGATATGAGGCAGCATCTACAATTTATGGACCACACACATTATCTGCTTACATTCAGCTCTTCAGAAACCTTGCTAAGGCCATTGCTACGGTAATCAAACATCATTTGTGCATGTGTATGTGTGTGTCTGTCTGTATGTGTCTGTGTCTGGGTGAGGAGATGCAGAGAGAAGCAAAAGGGAACCTTAGCTCTGAGTGTTCAGCTTTCTTTGACAGGTCTTTATATTTTACAAAATTTATAGCTTTGTGGTATCTCTAAGAAAATAAAAGAAATAAACTTTATTTCCAAATTTTGGATCTAATTAACATCCTTCCATGGTGGCAGCTCTTTCATGTACCTGATCTCATTATTTTTACGACCATCATGTGAAGTTAAGGACATATCATTTCTCCCCAGTTTTCAGATGAGCACATAGGCTTGAAGATAAGTAATGAAGATTACTACACCCGGGAGTTGAACCTGTGTCCTCTAATCCTTGCCATGTTCTCCCCACTTACTCCAACAGTTGAGTAGGTCAGCATTCTAAGATGCCCACTTTCCACATCATAATATCTCTGAAATTGAGATGCATTTTCCAGTCAGAGGATTCTTCTTATTATAATTAGTAGCAATCTTTTACTTTCTTGGTGGTTCAAAAAAATAATATGAGTTATTAAATCAATGGAAGCTTAGATTTGATATAATGAACACACTGCATCTACCTAAAATATGTATCACTGAACAAGTTTACTTGATTTAAGGGAACTTCACTTGTGGAAATCTTCCCTTTGGATGCAGTTGTTTATGAAGCTGCAACTGTGAGGTCAGAGGTTAGTCAGTCAACAAACAGGATAAAGAGCTTAAAATAATAAGCACTTATATAACAATATTTTAGCCTCGATAAAAACGTGAAACAGTATGGCATACCAAAGGAAAAAAAGCCCTTTTAAGGAAAGAGCTTGAATATGTTAAATTGAAACAAATGAAATGGCTGTCTCTGTAGGTTGCATCTGTAGAATGTTGACAATTTCATTGTGCCTATATTATTAGTTACTGATTGTATGTTTCAGTATTTTATATAATTTATTTGCATATATTTTAATTAATTGATATTTACTTTCATTTTATCATAATTTTGCTCTCAGTTTTAGGTTACTTTTTTTGAAGAACTGTTTTATTTATTTCTATTATAAAGGCCAAACATACTTGTAGGTTATTCAGATTATACAGAAAAGTCTAAACCTATAACCCAGCCCTAGAGATAACTACTGTTTAACTGTCACTGCACTCATAGGTCTATAGTTCTTCCCATGAAAATAGATTCTTAAAATTTTATAGTAATACTTAATGAAGAAAATGCAATTAATTTGGTGGAAATCTGTTTTACAGTCAAATTTCTGGTCAAGCACCTTAAAACTAGCTATGTGATCTTGAAAAAGGCCACTGAACATGTCCAAGCCTATTTTCTCATTTGCAAAATGGGATGGTAATACAAAACCTATCTCATATGCTATTGTAAGGATTAAATCTATAATGTGAGGAATAAAGAATGTTAAATAGTCATTGAAAGTAATGGCAAAATGGCAATTACTTTTGCACCAACCTAATATATATCAAGGAATATTTGAAAATTGATATTTGTATTTTTATGACACTTAAAAATGGTAAATTTTGTGGGCAACGTAGATTAAGCCAGTCAAGATATCAGATAATCTTACATTTTAAATTGAAAATGTATTTATTATATTCTTTTCTTACCACAGACAAGGATCTGGGAAAAAACTTGGTACTGCCTCTGGGTGAGACTGGCTCAATACTTAAAAAAATAATAATAATTACAGTGTCATGTTATAAAAACCTTTTTGCATGTTAGGTGCCTATACAAACTCACACAATTCGAAAGTGTGCTTCCCAGCTTGTACTCTGGTCACTGTCCATATGTTGTCAGAGGGGAATAAAAGAGTTGACCAAAAGTTTCTTCCAATGACAAGAGCTTAAATTATGAATTTCTAGGCTCATGTTTAGCAAGGTTGCCTTCCTATTTTGCTCAAGGTTGTTAGCTCTTGGAGTGTGTATATGTATGTGTGCATGTACTCTTCCATGAATGAAGGCATTTCTGGGCTGGAGGCCTGGGGAAAGGGTCTTTGGCTCTACATGTGCACTCCTTAACAAATGCTCTCTGTTCCAGGACACAGTAGCCGACCTGAGCAGAGGTCCAGAACCTCCATTTTTCAAGCAATTAATACTTCCATTAATTCCTAATATAGTGGATAGAGCACCAATAGGCAGAACTTTTGGGGATGTCCTACAGCCAGCAAAACCTGAATACAGAGTGGTAAGACTCATGCACAGACCTTGGAATCCTTTAGAGGCCTGTTTTTGGGGATGCGGGGAAGGATGTCACTTAGTGTCACCATTTGCCTCTAATCATGCTGTAGAGCAGCTGTTAGCAATGATAATTTTGATAATTGTCTTTATTTCTGCGAAAGTAATGAGAATGGGGAAATATTTATTTTTGTGGGTAATTGTGTCAAATTGGAATTCTAAAATGCAAATTATTCCTTTTCTTAAATGAATGATCATAGAACTATTCACTGGAACTGAGAGTTGTTTCTTAAATCAAGGACAGGAAAAACATACAGAAATGAAGCAGAATTTGTACCATTACTGTTTTATATCAATTTTGTATACTGAAAGCTTGCTGAATCAGTTATTAGTTTCAATAGTTTTTTGAGGGGTGGTGAGTAAGAAGGGAGTCTGGATTCCTTAGAAATTTCTACATGTAGCATCATGTCATCTGTGAATAAAAATAAAAGTATTCCTTTCTAGATTTCTTTTCTGAATGCATCTAATTATTTTTCCTTACTGGGCTGGTTAGAACCTTCAGTAGAATGTTTTGCTTTTTAAAAAATTTTATTTACTTTTCTAATTGGTAAATTAAAAATTGTATCTATTTTGTGTACAAGATGATGTTTTGAAATATGTATACATGTGGAATGGCTCTATTGAGCTAATTAACATGTGCATTACATTACATATTTTTTTGTTGTGAGAACACTTGAGACTTACTCTCTTAACAATTTTTAAAATACAATGCATTGTTGTTAGCTGCAGTCATCAAGTTGTACAATAGACCTCTTGCACTTATTCCCCTTGTGTAACCAAAATTCTATATTCCTTGATCCCCAATCTCCTGATATCTAACCCCTGGTAACCAACCTTCTGCCAACATTCTAATCTCTATGAGTTTAACTTTTATAGGTTCTGTATATAAGTGAGATCCTGTGATATTTGTCTTTCTGTATCTGGCTTATTTCACTGAATCCAATGTTCTCCAGGTGTATCCACGTTGTGTCAAATGTCAGGATCTCATTTATTGCTGAACAGTATTCCATTGTGTGTATGTACAACGTTTTCTTTTTCCACTCATCCATTGATGGACACTTAGGTTGTTTCATATCTTGGGTATTTTGAACAGTGCTGCAATAAACATGGGAATGCACATATCTCTTTAACAAACTGACATCATTTCCTTTGGATATATACCCAGAAGTGATATTATTGTTTAATATTTTATAGTAGTTCTATTTTTAGAGAAACCTCTTACTGCTTTTCATAATGGCTGCACTAATTCACATTCTCATGAACAGTGTACAAGAATTACCCTTTTCTACAGTCTTATCAACACTTATCTTTTGTCTTTTTAATATACATTCTAACAAGTGTGATGTGATATCTCATTTTAGTGTTAATTTGCATTTCTTTGATAATCACTTCTGTTGAAAATTTAAAAAAATACCCTGTTGATCATTTGCATATCTTCTTTTGAGAAATGTTTATTCATGTCCTTTGCTTATTTTTAAATTGGGTTATTTGTTTTCCTGCTACTGAGTTGTTTGCAAACCTTATATATTTTGGATATTAATTATTTATTAGAAGTATAGTTTGCAAATGTTTTCTCCAATTTCTTAGGTAGTCTCCTCACTTTGTTAATTATTTCTTTGGTTGTGCAGAAACTGTTTAGTTTGATGTAATCCCATGTGTCTGTTTTTGCTTTTGTTGCTTTTGCATTAGGGGTCATATTTTAAAAAAAACCATTGCCTACATCAACTTCCTCTAGGTTTTCTTTCAGTTGTTTTATAGTTTCAGGTTCTTATATTTAAATCTTTAAACAATTTTAGTTAATTTTTATGTATGTTGTGAGATAAGAAGCTTATACATTTTTCTGCATGTGGATATCCAGTTTTTCCAGCACCATGTATTGAGAGACTGTCCCTTCCCCCTTGTGCATTGTTGGCAAATTGTCAAAAATCTACCATAAATGTGCAGGCTTATTTCTGGGCTCCATTGGTCTATGTGTCTGCTTTTAGGCCAGTACCATGCTGTGTTGATTACTATAGCTTTGTAGTATATTCTGAAGTCAGATTGTGTGGTACCTTCAGCTTTGTTCTTTTTGCTCAAAATCCAATACAATGTTGAATAGAAGTTGTGAAACTGGACATTCTTGTCTTGTTTCTGATCTTGGTAGAAAAATATTGTTTTTCATCATATAGTATGATGTTTTCTCTAGGATTTTTGTAGATTCTTTCTATCATGCTGAAAAAGTTCTCTTCTATACCAAGTTTATTGAGAGTTTTTGTTAGAAATAAGCATTGGATTTTTGCAAATAGTTTTTTCTATTGTGGTGACAATGTGGTTTTTGTCTTTTATTATTTTAATATGTCACTTGCATTAACTGGTTTTCAGATGTTAAATAAATACCATACCATTTAGTCATGGTGTCTAATCCTTTTTAGATGTTGCTGAATTTGATTTGCTAATCTGTTGTAAGGAATTTTCTACTCATGTTCATGAGGGCTATTTGTAGTTTTATTTTTATGCGTTGTCTTTGCCTTTGGTATCAGGGCAATAGCAGTTTCAAAAGTGAGTTGGGAAATGTTTTCTCCTTTACTTTCTGAAAAAGTATCCAAAAGATTGGCAGTTATTTACTCCTTAAATATTTGATTGAATAGACCAGCAAGGCCATATGGACCTGGGCTTTTCTTTATGGCCAAATTTTTTATTACTAATTCAATTTCTTTACTTGTTATATGCCCATTCAGATTTCCTATTTTTTTTTCTTCCATCAATTTTGTGTCTTTTTAGGAATTCATCTTTATAGGAATTGGCATCTTTCTAGGAATTTTCCCATTTCATATAAGTTTAATTTGTTGGTGTAATATAAAAGTTGTTTTTGCTCATGATAATCTCTTTTAATCCTTTTAACTTCTGAAGGGTTGGCAATGACATCCCCTCTTTCTTTCTAATTTTGGTAATGTGTGTCCTCAAAGAACTAGTACTTAGTTTTATTGCTTTTACCTATTGTATTACCTTGCCATTTTAGGCAAGGCCAGAACAGCTTTTCATCTTCAGCAAATTCCTTCCCCACTTCCCCGGCACCCTCTATCCCCTCACCCACTGAGGTAAAATCCTTTTTAATTAGTGAGGTTTTCCAGTCTGGTCTGGTGGGAACAGAACCTTGTCACATCTCTCTATGAGCCTGGGGACTGTTCTTTGTAATTCTGTTAGCCCATTCTTTTTCTGGTTTCCAGTAGTTCCCTTACATGCATGCAAACTTGAGGGAGCTTTCTGCAAATCTCCAGATTTCTGTCTCTGTGCAGTATCCTCTCTATGATACTCTGTGCTGTAAACTCAAGACTGTTTGGCATTTGTGTTCTCCCACCTCCATATCCTCAGCTTAGACTGCCTGACTTGCCCTGAATTCTGCCTCCTTCTGCTGTGACCTGTAAACTCTGATGGCATTGAGCTGGTGGATTAAAGGGTGCATCTTGTTTGTTTGCTGCCACTCAAAAATCACTGTCTTTCATTGCCACTTGAAAAAACATTGTTTAATATATATTTTGTCCAGTTTTTTAGTTGTTTCAGGTGGGAGGATAAATACAAATCCTGACACTCCATCTCTTGTAAAAATATAAGCTTAACTATAAATGTAAGCATAAATTTGAGTCATCTGTGGAAGTTTTGACTGTTCTCATTTAATTCAAATGATCCCTTGTATTTGTGTGGGAGGGAGGTGTAAGGAATTATCAAGGGCTGAAGAAGCCATTTTAATGCACTGTCACTAATATGAACCACAGCTCTAGATCTTCACTTGTATCTGAGTCTACCAAAAGCAAACTCATTGACCAAACATTCCTATGTCCATTGGCAAGGGTTAATCTTAGAAGGTAACTTACTTGATGAAATAGAATGAAATCTATAAAAGCACCCTAAATCATAGAATTTATAATAAATAATGCCCAAAATATGAGTATAGCAAAAATCCTTTTATTAAAGTTATTAAATGAATTTTTATTTTCAGGGAGAAGTTGCTGAAGTTATATTTGTAGGTGCTAACCCAAAGAATTCAGTACAAAACCAGGTAGGCATCAATGATTTTCTTTTACAAATGTAAATCTACTTTTTAGCCATTCATTCATTTAAATATCCCTCTAGAGGTTAATAACATAAAGATAAAATGTGCCCACTTGTTTTGCATCTAATTTTGTAGGTGTGGGAAAATATTCAATAAGTACAGTTAATGTGGATTGAGTCTGGGTAAAAGCACACAGGAAACATATGATTGGCTCTACTTAGGACCATGTATAGCATAATGCATGTATGACTGCATTGTCTGTCAAAAAGATGTTAACTACAATCCCACATATATATATATATATATATATATATATATATATATATATATACACACACACACACACACACACATAGTTATGCACCATATATATATATAGTTATGCACCATATATAATGATGTTTCAGTAAAAGATGAACTGTATTATGACAATGGTCCCATGAGATTATACTACTGTACCTTTACTGTACCTTTTCTACATTTAGGTATGTGTAAATACACAAATACTTACCGATGTGTTACAATTGCCTATGACATTCAGTACAGTAACAGCCTGTACAAATTTGTAGCATAGGAGCCACAGCCTATACCATACAGCTTAGGTGTGTAGGAGGCCACTCTATCTAAGTATCTAAGTTTGTGTAAGTACATTCTGTGATGCTCATACAATGATGAAGTTGCCAAATGATGCACTTCTCAGGATGTATCCAATGCCTGGCTGTACTCAAATTTATAGAACTCTACCAAAAGTAGTGAAATAATCAAAGAGCCAAGTGAAGGACATGTGTCTTTGGCTCCTTCCTCTCTTTTTGACCCTCTTCTCCTCTGCACTACCATCTCCAATCCTAACTATACTGTTGTGGGATGGTCATGGATGCCTGCGTGGATACTCTCCTGGCTTGGAGTCCTGGCCCATGTGCTTTACTTTATCTTGCATTGGCCATTTCCCTATTCTTTACTACTGGTGCTAATGGGGCATTTATTTATTAAACCCAAAGAATGACACTCAAAATACATGGCCAATGCAAAAACAATAAGGAAGTACAGAAAATAGAATATATAAGTGCTCATATACCCACAAACCTGCTTTCCAGAGGTAATAGTTGTTAAGAGTTTTTTTTTATAAAGCATATCAGACTTGTTTTTATCATATATATGATAAACTATATATGTATGTAATATATCTATTAATAAAATTAATTTATACAAGCAATAACTGGACACATTCTAGTTGTAAAAACTCAATAAAAAATTTGTAGTGAAAAAAGAGTGGGCACATGACTATGACTTCAAGGTCATGGTTTTTACTATGGCTGAGGATACATTACTTCTATCAATGAACTAGTCTTCCTAGGCCCATAGTCACTTATAATCCAAAATATCTTCCTTCCAAAAGAACCTTCCCATTGCTGTTCATTAAAATATCATTATTGCCAAGATAACAATTGTGGCAATATGACATTCTCAAATATGACATTGGGGGAAATTCTTCTACCTCTTAGGTAGTCATTATGCACCTGTTTGTAATAATTTCTTTAGGAAGTCTTGATATTCTGAAGATATAGATGTTGTATCAAAACTGCAGGTTTAGCTGTAATTTGATATCCCTAGGGTAGAGATATTCTATCATCATTATTGCCACTGAGAAGCAGAAGACCAAAACATTTAAAGTACTGTAGTGATAATAGAATTAATTTCGAAGAATGCTCTGGGACTTGGTATAAAACAATTTCTAGCACCCTTCTTTATTAGTAATCATCATCACTATTTATGGAATGCTTACTATTTTGCAGGTACTATTTGCAAATGTTCCTATTAAAGTACTTTATGTGTATTATCACATGATTAATTCTGTTCTTATGACTACCCAATGAGTTAAGTTTTATTAACCCAATTTTACAGACAAATAACCTGAGGCCTAGAGAGATAACGTAACTTGTCTTAACTAGGCATACATCTGGAACAGATTACGGTAGAGCAGTTGGGAAATGATTGTCATATGTTTTATCCCTGATATTCACAGGCCTAGACTTGTTCTTCAGTCTGTACTCTAGACATATTCAAAGGGCCCATCATATCTTCTCCATGTAAGGCCTTTGCAATGTCATTTGCCCTAGACAGAAATAGCTCTCTTTACAAGTTCTTACGGTAACGAAAACTTCTTTATTCAATGTAATTCATCAGTTGAATACTTAGAGAAAAATTTTAAACAATTACATGGCCCACATGTAAGTAAGTGATCTATTTAGCAAAGGGTTACTTGAGTACCAGTAAGTGACAGATGTAAAAGACTATGATAAAATAGGTGAATTAGACATGTGCCTTTAAGGGTCACAATCTCAAGAATTTTAAGGGATAATTGAAACTTATAGCCTTTGTCTTTATTAACTTTGTCATATTCAAATCTGTGCTTTGTTTGAGGCTAACTTCTTGGTCTGAAACAAATTCTTCTATTATAATACTCTTCCAATGGGAAAATAAAATCTTTTTATGATGTAGTTTCTAGGAATATATTATTTAAAAAAATCTAGAGATCTCTTTTATCACCCCAGGATAGGGAAGATTTATGTATCCTTTTTAATTCTTTCACTCAGGGAGGTATGTTAACTAGTAATTCATTCAACTAGAGATGGAAAATAGATGAAACTTTACTATTTTCCCTTCTAAATCTTGAGGTTACTAGAAAAAGTCTTGGGATATATAGATCATTAAGCATGTCATGAAAAGGCTTGACTTACACCTTTTTAAAATCTTAAGTAGGTTTTGTTCCCAGCCTCTTTTCTGCGCTAATTTCCAAAATTTGCTATTAACTCTAAAATTATACTACTTTCAAATTTCTAAAAAAGTCATGTGTTTTAATAGACTTAGATAAATTAACATTCTGAATACATTCCATAGAATGTTAAGAGGAAAACCTAAGAATTTGGATGAAATTTTAACACATTTTCACACAAGGTATTGGTAGGCTAACATATGGTCAACAAGGGGAATATTTACAGACAGGTTCCTTCCGTGACTGTGGTACCTGATCAGTATTATTAACTGCATTTCAGACCCACCAGACCTTCCTCACTGTGGAGAGATATGAGGCTACTTCAACATCCTGGCAGATAGTGTGTAACGATGCCTCCTGGGAGACTCGGTGAGCATATCTATTGAATATTTTTGTTTTTCAAGCTTTGAAAACAGTTGGCTTGTAATGCAGGGAAGACAATATAAGGTATTAATGATATCAAATTCCCAAGGAGCTTTCTGGACATATTTAATTATTAGATTTAATTTTGATTATATTTTTCTACAAAACAATGTAGTCTGTGCTTCTATAAGATTAGGTGCTAATAAGGTTATGGCTTCCATTCTTACAGACATCTGTCGGGGTGTTTTTCCCATGGTCACAGGTATTATTAGTTAAAAACTAACTAGCTTTCTTGCAAATTGGTTGAAGGGAATGTAGAGTAAAAGTATTGAGATTTCTCTGTAGAGCTTGGTATTTCTATAGGGAAACGGAATCTATATCTGACATTTATTGCATGTTTGTATAAGATCAATGATTCTTCATTTGAGTTGCTAAAACATTATAGACCTGGGTGCTTAATGACTTGAGCAAGGATATAATATGCTCATGCAGTTTCCTCAGAGAGACATATCTCTTTGCCTTTTGCTGCCAAATTCCTGAGCTGAATAGATATTTTGAAGATTTGACAATGTGCCTGACAATGTTCCCAAGCCTATAAATTCCATATTCCAGGACAGTGGCATGGAAGTGGGTACAGTTTTTGGCAATTTGTGTCTAATTCAGATTGCCTCAAACTAAGCAGTATTAGTTTGTTAAATGTAAGTATGTTAGGATGGTTCAGATGGTTAATTGAAGGTGGGAATTTGGCCATGGCCCATTTGATACCCATATACAGATATGAACATAATTTTTTCTTTGGTATTTAGAACTCAAGGTTATAGGTAAATTTTGAAACAATGCATATTTATAGTTAAGAAGGTTATACAAGTAATAAAAAGAATGATTTATGTTTACCTGCTAAAAGTTTTTAGCTAATGTCAGTCAATATGAGGTTATGTTTAGATCTCTGCCTTGTTCATTCACAGCAATATAATCAAATATTTGTTGAGAGTACTGAACCTATCACTGAGAAACACAGAGTGTTGAGTACACTCTCTGTGCCTAAGAGATTCACTTTCAACATAACTCAGGATGTCAATCAATTAGCCCGTTGTATCTCACTGAGTCTAGAAGAGTATCTGAACTCTCTGCTGTGATCTGCAGGGGTCAACATGATCTGGTTCCATCTGTTTCTCATCTCAACCACTCTTCCATGGTTTACTATTTCCCGTACCAACTGACCTGCTTTCTGCTTTTTGGCCACATCAAGTTTGTTCCTGCTTTGGGCACTTTGTATTTTCAGTTTCTTCTTCTTAGAATGTGTTTTCTTCCAGATTTCTGCATACTCAGTTTAAACGACATCTCCCTTAAAAAGCTTCTGTCTTGTTTTCTACATTATACTTGTCATTCTTAAGATTTTTATATTTATTGCTTTGTTTGTTTATTGCATTTATTTTCATCCTCAACCCAGTAGAACATAAGCTTCATATTGAGACCATGTCTGTTTTGCTCCTTACTATACCCTTAGTACTTATAGAAAAGAGTTGAGCACATGTATTCATTAAATACATATATATGTATATATATTTAACAAATGAATCTTGATGTGAAAATAAGTGTTGGACAAGGGCTCAAAGAGTGCTTTGCAATTCTATGGCAGGAAAGACATCTTGTGGCTATCAAGTAAGGTTTCCTGGGATAAATAAAGTTTAGGTAGGTAGAAAGGTAGAACAAGTAAAGCTATTTCTACGAATTGCTGTTCTTTAAAGTTTCTCTTCTAGAAAATAGACGCTTTTGTCTGTTTTGGTCATTGCTGTATCCTCAACTTCTAGATAGTGCCTTGCTCATTGTAGGTAGTCCCTGATTATTCCTTGAATGAATAATCATGTATTTTTCTAATTACACATTTTTAAGAGTAAAATTGAGTCTTGCTTGTTTGTTTGTTTTCTGTCAACAGTTTTTATTGGCACAAGGGACTCCTGGGTCTGAGTAATGCAACAGTGGAATGGCATATTCCAGACACTGCCCAGCCTGGAATCTACAGAATAAAATATTTTGGACACAATCGGAAGCAGGACATTCTGAAGCCTGCTGTCATACTTTCATTTGAAGGCAGTTCCTCCGCTTTTGAAGTTGTAACTACTTAGTGCAAAGTTGACAGATCATTTAAAGAACAGCTTTACTCTGTACACATTATATAAGTGATTTCAAATGAATGTGAACTAGTGAACTACTATGTTGACTTCTATAATCATCCCTATTTGGGGACAGATAGTTTACTGAGAATGAGGCAGAGAGATGTGTGTGTGTGTGTGTGTGTGTGTGTGTGTGTGTGTGTGAGAGAGAGAGAGAGAGAGAGAGAGAGAGAGAGAAGAGAGAGAGAGAGAGAGAGAGAGAGGTTTGTCCCATCTATCTTGTTCCAGCAGCCATGTACCTAAAGCTTGATTTCCTTTGAGGCCTTGGGGTTGTTTAAGGGAGGCTCCCTTTAATATAAAACCTCTGAAATGTTAGTGAGAATGATTGAATACATGTGAACAATGTTTAACCTATTTATTTATATAGAGAATTATTGAATGTTAGTACGGGGAAAGTTTATAGAAATCATCTAGTTTAATCCTTCATCTTACAGATGAGAAAAGTGGTCTTTTCCCTTAACCACATTTATAAAACAAGATGTAAACCTTGACCATAAATGTATGAGTCTAATTAGAGAAACAAAATCAGCATGTCAGTTTTCCTTCATTCAAAATAACATATAGTCTTTCTAAGACGTCATTCTGGGGTTAACATGCTTAGTTCACAGTTAATGGATGCTCAAATAGTCTCTGGAATTGCCTTTAGAACCCAATTATGAGAAAGTCATACCTTGCACTATTTAGATTATGGCTTGTGTTTTCCTAAGTGTCCGTATCCCACTGGATTGTGTCTCTTATTCCCAAGACTTATTCTAAATGATTTTTTGACTCTTTTCATTAATCAAGTTCACCCCAAACCACAAATCTTTGCCATTAGTGTAGATATTAAAAGTGTTACTGGCTAGGAAGGCACTCCTCAGAGCAGAAGTTCTAAATAAATTTATCTGTTCTTTTATCAATTGCTCACTCACTCACTCATGGACCCATTTAATCATAGAATATTTAAGATTTATATGCCCAGAATTATGCTAGTGCCTGGGCCTTGGTAATTAGTGAAACTGTATTTGAGATGAATGTGTAAGTGTCAAAAGGTCAGTATTATGAAGGAGAAAATATTCAACTTAATATTGTAAATCTTCAAGTTATATATTGTATATCATCTGTGTTGGGTGCGGGGGAAGAGGCTCCAAATTGTTTGCTAAATACTATTTCAAAGTTATTTCTGGGCATTGCAAAATACCTAGCCTCATGTCCCAAAGAATGAGATATGACAGTCTGACACTGACTGCCTGAAAGTACTAATTGCATTTATAATTATTAGTTAACTAGGCGCTCCCAGACTGCAAAGCAAATTTCTAAACCCCAGGTCATACCTTTGTATGTATGTAAAAGCTTTAGCATATTAGGGAAAAAATTAATCTGTATTTCAAAAATAAACTTTGAGGTTTAAAAATAAAAACAATATTAATAATGATAATATTAACATCCATTTATGTATGAGTTAATCTCTACATAATTTATTGAGTCAGAATGAACCTGGAACAGTTTTTGATGACTTGGTATCCTAGAGGCTGTTTCTATGAACGTTAACTGCTGGAGGATTAGGTAATCAGGGTTTCCAAGGGTTGTGATCATTTTTCTAATGACACCACAGTATTTATCGTAAAATTTAGGGAGCCTAAAAGAACAAGTGATTCTGAAAGTAGCTGACTACAGACAAGAAAATTGTATCAGAACTCATGATATGGTTTTTTGAAGTATTTGTTATTACTCAGAAGGGTTCATGAATCATTTTCCACTACCTCCATCCCTCCTATTGAAGCTTCCCTCAATCTTCTTGTGATCCCTGACAGCTCACTGGCAACTGTACTAAGGTGGCCACTGTATTATCTACTCATCCTTCTGCACCCAGCACTCTTGGCCCGAGATAACCCACAGAAACCTATTTTCTCACCACCTGACATTTCTTCTAGGCCATGAAATTCTATTTTTGTAGTTTATGTGTAAAAGATACAACCAAATTCCTGCATTATCAATATCAGTTATTCACCAGCATGTAATAGAGTATCAGGAAGTAATTGAACTTATCTGTTAATATAAAAACACAGATCCAATTCATGTCTGTGGGTGTTGTAGCGGGTGGCTCACTGGAGCCAAACCACGTGGTGGAAACTCCTGAAATTGATGGAAAAAGTGGAATATGGCAGATTGGGTAGGTGGGAGAACAATTCTGGAGATTTTGTTTCTCATGTTAAAGTGTCTGCATTTTATTTGCCATACCCTGCCTACTCTGGTTTTAAGGATTCTGTGACTTCTTCAAAAAGCACTGAATGATCTCTTTTCCAGGTCTAGATTTTTCAATGAGTACTATGTAAAATTGTCAATATTCAATGGAATATTTCATAATAAATTAAGAATTACACTCGTAGATGTATTTTCTATTGAGAGGTAATGGAGACAAACTTTTTTTTTTAAAAGAGGTGGAACAAAAGCTGGTAGATTACATGTAAATTAGGTTGGAAAGTAATACAAACGACTTGTAAATAACCACTGAAACACAAGGGAACTACTTTATCAGTTTCTTCCCCACTTCTGAAGATCTACTGCTGGTAAAACGCCTGTATGTTTGGTATTTCTTTTATTTTCTCACCTTTTTTTTTTTTTTTACTAGTTTGGCAAAAAAATTTCCTAGGCAGGTAGCTAACTATGCAATTATTTTATGAGCTAATTCTGAACCTAAATACCAAGAATGAATTCACTTATGAATATCCTTTTCTAATGTGGCCTCTTATGCTTCTCTTCCAATGATAGAAAGCTTACTGTCTTTTTCTAGTATTAGCACATGGATTCTATCTTTAGCCAGAAGGTTTTATCAGTAAATTAACTTCTCATGTGTTTAGTTCTTCCAAATGATGCTTTTGCTTCCTGAGTATTGAACCTGACTTGCTGGTTTATATTGACTTCTAAAATTTTAGAGTGATAGGGTGTCAGAGATGGAAATTTGCACATTCCTTACACAATTAGTTAGAATGCATTCAGCTATAACTCACAAAATATTCCTGATCTGCGTCCATCCAAACACTGAAGACATTTATAACCTCACATAGCAGTAAGTCTTGAGGTGATAAATTCAGGTTTGGTGTAGCCACTCAGTGGCTTTTCTTAACATGTTGACTTAATTCTTAGGTTTATCCTCTTAGTTAAAAGATAGCTACCTCATGTCTACATACAACTGAATGCAGCAGCAAAATGGGAGAAGAGAGTACTCTTTATAATCCTTTTTTGGAAGGTAGAAAATAGTAGGAACACAAGTAGAATTTTCATTGTATTTCCTTGTTCAGAACTGTGCCACACAGCTACTCTTAGCTGCAAGGGAGGCTGGAAAGAAGAATATTTAGTACTTTGTGCTTCTAGAGAGGTAGGCAAGTTCTGATAGTAAGAAAGTAGAGATAGCTGAAGTAGCTGTCATAAAAACGTGTCAGTCAAGACATTAGTTATGCTACAACATTAGAGATTTTATTTCTTGATCTCATGACTTGTCCATTGGGGTTAGTTAAAGGATCTGTTCCACATCTCACTTAGGTTCACAGCCTGACAGATACTTCCATTCTACACATTATTCCATTGTTAGGGGTGCTTTCATGACTGAGGGAAGGGACAGGGAGAATCATGCAACAGTTCATGAAGCTCCCACATTACTGTGTATTTTTCACTGGGTAGGTGATAGAACCAGGATATTTGCAAGTAGCCCTAAAATGCTACCACAATGGGCAAACGGTAGCATCTGCATATGTAACTTAACTGCTCTTCGAAATAATTATAACTAGTTTTACTCTAGAAATATGTTTTAGAAAAGAACACACCTTGGAATCATGATGAAAAAAATTGCTTTCTATATTGCAAAATCTGTACATTCCTTTAACAGATTTATATCAAGTACCTATATACTTTATGGCAGAAATTACTCTAAATCCCAAGAATGAAATAATAATGAAGGCAAAGCTGCTCCCTGCCAAAAGCAACTTAGAGTTTAACGAACAAACAGATAAACCGTACAGGGTGACCCATATTGTTATTGTTCAGGGAATTAGAGAAGGAACCTAATATGGTCTTGGGGATGTTTCAGTAAGTTTCCTGGAAGAAATAACATCTTAGCTAAGACTTAAAAGATATGTAGAAATTATAAGAAATGAGAAGAAAGGCAATGATGTATGCATGTGTGTGTGTGTATTCGTGTGTATGTTTGTATACTGGACAAGTAGACTATTCCATGTAGAGGGAATATGGAGTGCTTTATCAAGGCTGTAGTTGGAGTATAAGGAAAGAAGTGACAGTCAGGCAGCACTAAACTTTGCCTTCACAAACAGCAATTTGGTTTTATACTTGTATTAGCATTTTCCCCCTTGATACTATTCCCCTGTAATATAATTGTCCTCGAATGTATTTGCTGCTTGCTCTAATAATAAACTACACTTTTTATAACTAAAAAACTTACCTGGCTCCCAGTTTCCAGTGCCACTGTATGTCATCCTTCTGCCTTTGGGGCCAAAACCCTGCCCATAGGCAAACCTTTGGAATTGAATTTATGAAGACACTTCTGTTGGTCCTGTTTCTGGATTTTTTTTTTTACCATAATGAAAACTTAAAAGCCTGGGTTTGCAGGCTCAATACTAGGTAGAGGAGAATAGGAGATCTGCTACCCCTGGCCAAAATTAGATGTCTAGAAATATTGGCTTGACTATATTCTGTGTCTTACTGTATTTTTCATATTCAGTATAAAAGATTTACCTTTTTTTCCAAACCAAAATAAGCTAAATGGACAAAGAACTTAATATTCCAGCAATTGCAAGTTTAGGACAAAGTCCAACCACATCCCCTAAATGGCCAAGGGACAGTAATGATAATGTGAAGAAAGATACCCTTAAGTGGAATTTCGAAAAACTAGTATCTGTGGTTTTATAAAGTTGATTCTACGTTCAAGAGGAGAATACATCCTCTGGATGGCTTTCCCACACTGTGGATGGTGCTGTGCTCATTTATTACCTGTCTCATCTCAGTTTCTCTTAATCTCAATAATCCACTAATGCAAGAAATCTCACAG